GAATTAATTTCTCTAGCATCATAATGGTAAATCCTGTCATCCATATATGGGTGGCATGGCAGTCAAGGTGTTAAGGGAGTATTCTAGTATAGAGTGCTTTTTTTAAAACTTTCTTCCAGAATTTTTTTCAAATAAACTATGACACCTTTTGCAATCAAAGGGTATAGACGAATAAGGGGGTCAAATGTACCCCCAAACCGAATTGAACAAACGATGGGTCATTCGATAGCTTATCCAAAAATAACCCTGTGTGCCAATTTTTAACTTGAAATCTCGACCGTGGGTGTAGTAATGGGGTGAAAACGAAAATCATGTTTTTGTACAATCTCTCTTGACCTATTGAGTAAAAAAATGTAAAAAAATTCAGAGACATTTCGAGTACCGGGGCACATATTTTCGGAGATTTTCAGATTTTTTGATTGAAGGACTAGGTAGTAAAAAATAAAAAATCGCAAAAAATGCCGAAAAATGTCGATTACTTATTGAAGGAGGTCCGGAACTACTTTTATACTTTTACAGTAAACAGGGATTGCTATTACTATTATTCTCAATTTTTTTCAGATTTTTCATTTTTGTGCGCTGCAGTGAAAAAAAAAAAATCGATTTTTTCCTCATTTTCTACGTATTAGAGTAACTTACACGTTGTATTTTATGCATTCTTCAATATATCAGTGTTTTGTAGACTGTTTAATGTTTCCACAATAGCAGAATTACATAACAATTGAAACAAATAAAATAAAGCCAACCATTGGGCGCATATATCGTAAAAAATCAACGATATTTTCAATGGCTTCGATGGCGCAGCGTTAGAGTGTCCGACTGTGGAACCGCTGGAAGTTTTTTTTACCATAGGTTGGAGTCTCTTCTGGACGTAGTATTTTTTTTTCTTCATTATTTTTCTTTATTTTATTTGTTTCAATTGTTATGTAATTCTGCTTAGTGTAGAAACATTAAACAGTCTACAAAACACTCATATATTGAAGAATGCATAAAAATTCAACGTGTAAGTTACTCTAATGCGCAGAAAATGAGGAATAAATCGGTTTTTATTTTTTTTCACTGCAGCGCTCCAAAATGAAAAATCTGTAAAAAATTGAGAATAATAGTAATAGCAATACCTGTTTACTGTAAAAGTATAAAAGTAGTTCCGAACCTCCTTCAATACGTAATCGACATTTTTCGGTATCTTTTGCGGTTTTTTATTTTTTGAAAATCTCCCGAAATGTTTGAATTTTTTTACATTTTTTTACTCAATAGGTCAAGAGAAATTGTACAAAAACATGATTTTCGTTTTCATCCCATTACTACCCCCACAGTTGAGATATCAAGTTAAAAATTGGCACATAGGGTTTTTTTTGGATAAGCTATCGAATGACCCTTCATTCGTTCAATTCGGTTTGGGGGTACATTTGACCCCCTTATTCGGCTATAAACTTTACCAGATTCATTTATGCATGTTTTAGTAACATTTTAAAATTTTTTGGGCGAAAAAAGTTAAAAATAATGACACTGCGCACTCTCAAACGTAGTCGTTTTTAAAAAAGATTGTCTCGTGGTGTTCATGATTCTGGCCATTCTGTTTGTTTGAAAAAAAAACCTGAAAGATTCTTAACCAGTCAGCTGTGTTTGACGACTATATCCATTATAGAGAAATGGCAGCATTTTGTGTCATAACGACTATATTCGTCATGCGTAAAATTAGTTACCATTTGCTATTTAAATTGTAATTTTAGCGAAAACAAAATATATTTGTTTTCAATATGTTTAGAATCTTCAAAGGTCAAAACGAAATAAAAGAAACAAATACGCGCTCTGAAAAGAAGTCGCTACAGCTGACTAGTTATTTTGTATTAGTTTGGTTGTAGCTGGTAGTAGAACAAAGGAAAAAAGTCGATATTTCAAAAAATGCCAACGCTTTGATGACCCGGTGATTCGGGGAAGGAATAAAATAAAATAATGGCCACAGGTTAACGTTAGTAAGTATGTATATTTCAATGTTACGTGTTCGGTGTCTAGATCGACTCTGGTCTGACTCCTTGGCACGTATCCCCTTAAATAGGACACCGACATCTTCTCGAAGGTTGGAGACCATTAAGCTACCGTAGTGCCGTACAATGTCGCGCCGATAGATAACCCAATGACGCGGCAACATTAAACGTATTTATAGAACCTTACAATATGGAAGCCACAAATACACGGTTATTGAATTCTATATTAATAATTACAGCTAATGTTTCTACAAATTAAGTAATCTATACTTTTTGTTAAAATATAAAATAATATGGTAATTGTTTAGAAGTTTGCTCTCCTCACCGATTTCGATGACCTTGAAATATGTTGTTTCAGGTGATTCCTACATTTCTTTCGCATATATGTGAGCTACATTGGAGGCACCATTTTGTTTTTTTTAATTATGACTTTTGATTCGTAATCAGAGACCTCGAAAACCCTTACCTACACATTTGTAGCTACAGTGAGGAGCATAAGTGAACCAATGACCACAAGTTTTGCATAAATCATTATTTATTACTAGGAATATAAAAGAATAACAAAAAATAAATATTATAATTATTTTTATCACAGTTAGAAGTAACATAAGAAAGTCTTTCAGTAATTAACATCTTGTTGTTTATGAATAATACGAACAATAGATTGTCTCAGTTTTGCACCACGTCCAATATTTGACAATATTTAATATATTATTTATTTTTAATATTTCGTCCACAACCCTTTTGCTTGAAAATACTGCACTAATTATCTTTGGCATACTTTCTATTAACTTTTTACAATAATAATATTTGTTCCCACTGTTCTTGAATTCTGTTATACAAATTCGTGATTGAAGTTGGTTGGGAGTCATATGAATCCCGAAGTCGTCTTTTCAGTAAGCCCCATAGATTCTCTATGGGGTTGAGATCGGGGCTCTGTGCAGGCCAATCCAAAACAGAACATTTTTTAGTATTGAGCCGATTTTTTACACTTTTAGCAGTGTGCTTAGGGTCTCGATCATGCATGAAAATTACATTTTCTTCTTCGAATGACATATTTTCAACAGCATCTATGAGATGATCTTGTAAAATATCTTTGTACATATACTGATTCATGATGCCATTAATTTGGTGCAGTGATCCAACACCAAATGCTGTTAGGCACCCCCAAAACATTAGGGATCCGCCGCCATGCTTTACCGTTTGCTTTACATGTCGTGGTTTAAGCCTTTCATTTTTACAAATCCAGCACCAAGACATGCCATCTGAACAAATTCTGTTAATTTTGGTCTCGTCTGACCAAATAACCTGCTCCCATTCAGTAGTTATCCAGTTTTTATACTTTTTGGCAAATTACAAACGAAGTTTAATATTTTTCTTTGATAACATTGGCTTCTTTTTCTTCTTAATGCTTCTAAAGTCAGCTTGTTTGAGCGTCCTCCTTCGTGCTGCCCCTTACTTATTTGTATATTCGTATCTTCTTTTAATAATTGTGCAGCCATGGTGGCACTTGAAACTTCACCAGGTGCGACAAACCGTATAATTCTTCGTTCATCCTGCGGCGATAACTTTTTTGGTCTTCCTCCAACATTAAGTAATATACCTTTACAGTATTTTTTTCTTATTCTCTGCACTGTCGATTGACTAACATTACAATTTTTCGCCGTCTGACGCGTTGACAAACCGCCATTCAAAAAAGAAATGACTCTTTTTAAACAATTTGGAGCAATTGACTTCATACTTATTCTTACTTCACTTCCGTGCCTTTCCGTTCGACTGATTGCGGTAAACTGAGTGCAAAGACGTACAATAACATTTTGTAAACATTCTAAGCTGCTAGCTGTAAACATACTGCTAGAACATTCCACGTAAACATTCCTTTTACTGACTGCTGCAGAACCGAGTCAATCCATTTTCTTTGCCATTGCTAAACTAGGAGACATTAATTATTGAAACACTTTCTTATGTTACTTCTATATATGATAAAAATTACTGTAATATTTATTTCTTAATATTCTTCCACATTCTTAACGATAAATAAAAATGTATACAAAACTTGTGGTCATTGGTTCATTTATGCTCCTTACTGCAAATTGAAGAACTTCTTCATATTATGGCCAACTTTTCGGGATTTAGGACCGCTGTGCGGCACAACGAAAGGCTCTCGACGCTCGAAGCGATACACGGCGTCCCGTAAAGAATGGACGGGACGTCCCGAGGAAAGGCGATGATCGATCACCGAGCAGATCGATCGAATCCCGGTGTCGGTGTATCGTCTTCCTCGCCGATCAGACAACTTAGAGGGGGGCACAACAGATCTGAAATAGCAAACTTATCTATCCGTGGCCTGGTCGCAGGACAAAGGATAATAAATGGCCGTGCTCGGGCTGCTTGAGCATTCGAAAAGGTGAACGAGAGTTGTGCTTCGTGGCTGGGTATCTTTAAATCACGTTGCTCGCCACCACCGATGTAGACAGTCGGCACAGGGAAGCTGTTTCATTCTATTCCCGAGATATCTCTATTTCTGCTGATAGTCGCCTTTTGCCCTGCCAAGTAATATCCTCAGAGTATGTGCAGACGAGCAATCAACATTTATACATCAAATTGCAGTGGACAGAAAATTGCATTAATCCATTAAATACACTGTTCAACACGAATTTTGTTTTCCCATATCCACTAGGTGATTCTTGTAGAGCTCTGTTTCCCAAACACTAATCCGGAAACGGAATTGTTGTATCAATTTTACATCATTATATTTGCATCATACAATTTTTCAATAACTATCTTGCTGACTGCAATACTCGTATGCAAATAATACGTAACATTGATAGTGTGACAATTTCTTCCAACCGCAATGTAGAACGTTCTATAAATGTTACGACTCACGGCGGAATGGCGGTCGGTCGATATATCCGTTTATAGTGTAGGAGCAATAAAATTCTCAGACGGACAGTATACAAAAAGGCAGCTAACTGTGGGCGAGATTCATAAAGTGATTCGATTTTCTTGCAGGACCTGCACAGTGTCGACCTAGAGGAATTTAAGCACGGCGGGACCAATATCACTGCCTTTCGATTAGTGGATCCGGAGAAGCCAGAAATTCAGAAGGTTGTACAAGATTGGATCTTTGGTGAGAAGCGTTTTAATCGAGAACTCGATATGGGACAAAGCTCCAACAAGGTACGGCAAAATTCACTGTTTAATATACTGTAAGGACAATCTATATCAATGTTAACGCAATTACGCATCTTATTATATTTTGTACGAACATCTTATTCCGAGGCAATGAAATCAATATTTTCTCTTCCGGTGTCACGCATGAAATTTTGTAATCGATTCTGAGTCGTAGGAAAATTTTATTTCATTTACTAACTTGTATGATTACTGTTTTCGTGGACAAAATTATTGAAGAGATTAGTTTGCGACATGTTATGTGTGACATAATAGCGATATGGCGAGAAATAATGTTTAACAAAAAAATAATGGTTCATGATACTTCACTTGTAGTTCGCCTTGATAGAACGGTTCTTAAAATCGTTTTCTAAGACATACATATATGAGAATAATGAATCACTGCAATTGTGAATAAAAATTCATAATTACATTTTCCAATAATAGAATGTAGCAATAATTACAGAGTTGACAGATAACACAAGTTAATATTAGTTTCAGTTTTTGTCTATCTTTAAGAAAATAATTTTACTCTGTACAGGTTGTCTTGAATATGGATAATGTATTTGAATTAATGCCATAATTTAATTTAAACCTTTTAAAAAAGTCGTGTGAAAATGTGATTGATCCATTATGCACCCGCATTCATTCCGTGAATCTATACAGTACTGTGCAGAGTTGGAAAAGTAATTAGTGGGACGGCACAGGAGTAAGAAATCTACTCCCCAATACTCTGTTTAATCCCCCCTTTGAAGCGTTTTTAACCACCACCATTGAACCCTTCGTACTTTCTGACGTAGAAATAAATCTAAATTTAATAAATGTGACCATTTTGATCAGTCGATCGTAATTCTTTTACTCATCATTTTATCAGTTCTACACAGTACTTGTTCTACATTTTTCATATAGTCTTCGCTTGGCAATCAGCCGAGAGTGACGTGTTTACATCTTGCTCCGTCCGACACTTTACTGTTACGTTTCAAATTCAAACTTAAAGTTTCTTCATTTATTCTATTTTAAATATGGAAAAGGTTTTCATCGGTTGTCGTGAACGAGTGGTAAATCCAATCATTTGTTCCTTTTGTGGAGCAACATCTTACCCTGCATACCTACGTTGCGCCGGACATCTGCATTGTGATGGAAAATTTACGGACTGCACCGTTAATTGTCTGTCTACACCAACTCAACTATCTAACGATGATTTACATGCAAAGATCAACGAAATCGGTAAAACTTTCTGTACAGAATTGGACAAATTTCGATCAGAAATGAACACCTTTAAAAAGGAAGTTGTACCGGATATGATCGCGGACTTTCTTGTAAGAAGTTGTAAGTTTCTGAAGTCGCGAACCCGGCTTGTTCGCTTGGCAAATTAATGTCGTCGGAGCAGGTTTCGTGTAAGTAATGCACTGAGACAGCGGTTTTGTGTGTTCTTTATTTTGAATGTTCAGGTTGACTTTGCAGAGGAAAAAGTGACATTTTTGACGGTGCTCGTGGTTTACATAATCTCGGTTTTATTGCTATTGGTGGAAAATGTTGCGGATGGGACAAAGGACCCCGCACAGATCTTATGGAAAATGGCCCCCGGTTAAATTAGCTGAACTTTTGATATGATGTAATTCATTATGTCTTGATCAAAAGTTCCAATAGGCCCAAGCTCGTAAATTGAACAGTTTCCGAGATATGGGGGATCAAAAGTCAATAATAGTGCGCCTTATTCTGGACTACCACGTTTGAGCATATTTGAGTGTAAAAAGCACTGTTGCACACTGTCCATTTATTTGACCCTCAAAACTCAATAGTAGTACTGTGGACCCTTAAATATTACCCCTTGACCCGCTGACCCTATGACTCCCCTTCAGGAGTCAAAGTAAAAAAACGCCAAAAAGGTAAAAAATGGTTCTCTTTTTCAATGTACAAACATGATGCACCGTCGACATTAGCATTACCCAGTGTGCATTACGAAGAGGTTGTTCGATCGAATTTTGCACACCATGTGGCCCTGAAAAGGGCCGTTTTTATAGTTCTCTCTATTCGGCCATGAGAATGTCAACATTCATATTGTCTTGATGACCTCTATTAGGGGCATCTCTGGTCATATTTAGAAGATTGCCATCCGAATATTTGGCATGCCTTTGATGACGAGCAAATCCTCAAAACCTTAAAACACTTGCAATATGTGCACATGTACCCAATGTTTTGGCACCAGATTGACAGGTGCAGTAGTAACCATTTATTACTTCCTTTTCTAGTTTCAGTTCATTTTCGGGAATGTGAAAAATAAGAACTTGATGTTTGGTACAATTCCGAAATTGTGAATAAACTTTTAGTCTTCTAAGACTGTTATCTACCAAAGAAGTGTCAATCTGTAATTCATCGTCATCATCTTTTAGCAGTAGAGGGTCAGAGGGTCAAGGGGTAATATTTAAGGTCCCATAATACTACTATTGTTGAGTTTTAAGGGGTCAAATAAATGGGCAGTGTACAACAGTGCTTCTTACACTCAAATATGCTCAAACGTGGTAGTCTAGAATAAGGCGCACTATTATTGACCTTTGATCCCCCGTATCTCGGAAACTGTTCGATTTACGGGCTTGGGCCCATTGGAACTTTTCATCAAGACATCACGAACTACATCATATCAAAAGTTCAGCTAATTTAACCGGGGGCCATTTTCCATAAGATCTGTGCGGGGTCCTTTCATTCCACAACGAAATATATAAGAAAAAAAAAATGAATGACGGAATAATGTGATCTTTGCTTTGGACGAATAAGTGTGTGAAGGAAACGAAAAGAAGAGCTGAATCTAAAACACTGACAGCGAACAATAAAATATTGCGACTTGATTTTTATCGATAGCACTCTCGATAAAAATATGTATTCAAGCATTTTCAAGAATAATTTAAAAAGGAGGGTAATTAATATCAGGCAAAAATTTAAATTTTATCAGGATGACGATCCGAAACCTAAGTTTCGTATTATACACGAATTTTTATTATACAATTGTGCCAATATTAAACATCTGCCTCCAAAATCTCTCAACATGAATTCTATCGGGAATTTTTGGGACGAACCGAATCGATAGATTCAAAAAACTGTTACAACTCCAAAAGAAAAATTGAAATCACATCTTAAAAAAGAATGGCGGCGTATTAGTAGAGATTATCTAAAAAAAATTACTTCTAGCATGTCAACATGTGAAATATTAATCATTTATAAATAATTTTAGTCGTAACGTAAAATAAACTTTTTATTTTACCCATTATATATATTTTGTAAATACAGAGTATTAAAATCAACTTCCATCGATGTCCGAATATTTTTGTGACTGACTGTAAGTTTCTGTAAATATTTACTGACGTTTTTTTCTATCGTGAGACTTGTTTGCGAGTCGTTCGCTTCATCAGATTGCTAGTAAATGTTGGAAATGTATCCGCGGGATAGCGTGGCGAACGATGTGTGCCGCGTTCGTTTCCGATTACAGTTACAGCAGAGTTTGTTTCTTTTGTCTTCTCGTATTTTGTATTTTAATAAAACAAAGATAATTTCATGTGGTGTTGTGCTTCCTACCCAGAGAACATATGAGCCGTTTATTTTCAAGTGGCCTAACTCCATTTATACTTAAATCAAGATATTTACTATTGATAATGTCAGAAAGCAGTGATGAAGGTAACTTTAATTAATTAGTATTTACAAGTTAACCTCAGTTTTTGGACAATTGCGTTAGTTGAATAACCAGTACGTTTAATTAATATAAAACTTAAAATTTAATATTAAATTTTAGAAATTATTTCATCCATGGAGAAGAACGGAACAAGACTATTTAGTGCAGATAGCGAAGAAGAAATAGTAACTAAAATTGTCCAAACTTTGGAAAATAATGTGGAAATCATAGATCACAAACTTTTAATATCAGGACATTCGTTTTTACCAAATGATAGAGATTTTGGCGTGGTAGAAATGTCGTTAAAAAAAAATAATTTTCTGTTCGTTCCCCGAGATTATTACAAGATTACTAAAAAGTGTCGGAAAGGTAATAATTTTATTGTAAATGAAATGAGACAAGAAGATTTTGTATCAACAAAATTATTAGAAGACGCAATTTTTAAAAGGGTAAAGAATTCTGATGGAGAATCAATAAACTGGTTAAAAATATGTTGGATGCGTTTTGGGCCCGGATGCACGCCTGAACAGAAGTCATGGCGAAATACTCGGCAGAGCTTGACAATCTCAGTAAAGAAATCTCCTTACCCGCTGATAGAGTAACTGCTTTGGAATTGTTCCGTCCGGTCAGCTCGGGTTTTTCCGCTCGTTTATGGTGCCAGATGCGGAACCTTGACTTGTCGAAAAAGTCTTCGAACATTCCGCATCTGGCAAATTTCATCGTAAAGCATTCAAGCGCTTTAGCTTTTCGAAAGTGCAAGGCCCGAGTTGACCGACGAAGGGCTGCATTGTTCCGCGGGTGGCACGGTCCTCTACAACAACCGTCGCCAACTCATGGAACAATGCAGCCATAAAACGTCTGCAACGCACGTGTAGCTAGGCGTAATTCGGAGTCCCGTTTTTTCCTCGGCAAAATTAACGGGGCCTTCGACTTGGGGAGGAAACCTCGGTCACCCTCGTCCAGGGTGAGATGGGACTCTTCCTCCTCCACGATCGCGCGAGGGAGGAGTTTCCTGGCCAACGGGGCAGGAAAATCGATCCTCCTCCCCCAAGTCGATGGCCAATCGATAAACGGAAAAAGTCAACGCGAATCGGTTGACGAACCCCCAAAATCGCGTCTCGGAGGGGGTTCAAGCCGAGGAGGAAACGGGCTCCGGACACTTCGACACTCGTCGCTGAAACCTCAGACAACAACGATCGAAATCTTTAACTCGTCGCTAAAAGTTCGAAGACAACGGTCGAAATCTTCTTTAACTCGTCGCTGAAATCTCAGAGTAAACGTTCCAAAATCTGCAGTTCCATCGTTTCGGGAACACTCGTCATTCGATCTTCGAAGAAATCGCAGC